AGCCACTGTCTTATGTCACCTCCTAGATAACCCTATGACGTTTGTACAAATGAGAAATGCGATTGAAAAGCCTGGATGACTGTTTTGTGGTCTCTGAAGTTGATACACATTACACCTAGACTGACTATGATCTCCAATATCCATTTAATACTTCCCTCCCTCTCTCTCTCTTCTTCTCATCCTCTCTCTCTCCCCATTTTTAAACTTCCTCTGCAGGTCCACTATACAGATTTCCTGGGAAGTCTCCAATAAAAGTCACTTACTTAACACTTAGTACAAGCTCAATGAATACAGGTCATTATTGGAGTGATTGTATAGCAAAAAAAAATTGAACTCTTTTTATTCTATCCCAATGTGAAAAGCTAGTGAGTGAACCCTGAACACCAGAAACTTGGAAGACTAAGGAGTTAGATTAGGTATTCTTTGGGAGCCTAGTGTGTTCATGCACCATGATTGACACTACAGGAGAAGCTGTGTTACACACACACACACACACACACACACACACACACACACACACACACACTTTTTTTTTTCCAGCAGTGGTTTATTTCTTTTTTTTTTTAAGATTTATTTATTTATTATGTATACAATGTCCTGCCCACATGTATGCCTGCATGCCAGAAGAGGGCACCAGATCTCATTAAAGATTGTTGTGAGCCACCATGTGGTTGCTCAGAATTGAACTCAGGACCTATGGACCAGAGCTCTTAACTTCTGAGCCATCTCCCCAGCCCTCAACAGTGGTGTGACCACTCAGTTACATGTGAAGCTCTGAGCTCCATGTTTGGGGAAATACACTCTAAATGCCCTGAACACTGGAGACTCTCGGGACTCTAGCAGACATATAACTAACTAAGCATAACTTGCTGATAGAAATTCAGCAGAAGTTATAGGAGAGCCCAGAGGAGGAGCCCTTCAGGCTGGTAGGGGCTCATGTGGCTAGTGAAGGTTCTCTGAGCAGGTGACTGAACTGACCCTTGGAAGTTCTTGCCCTTGATACTTCCTAATCTTGGCAGGAAGACATAAACAGGACACCAAGAACAATGCAAGATCCTATCTCACAGGTTCTACAAGAAGATAATGCTGCCTCAGGAATTCCAAGATGAGAATAATTTACTGTCTGGGAGTAAAATGTAGTGTCCTGGATGAAGAAGAAAGCTGACAGAGAAGCTCAGTAAGCCATGAAATTGAAATCTACAGAAAAGAATATGGGTGATCCTTTACTGAGCACCTACTATGTCACACAACACACCAGTTTAATCCTCATGACAGCATCATAGTACTGTCACTGAAACTCAGAAAAATTAACAAGTTGCTGGAAGTCGTAGTGATTCTGAAACGAGTACTTTGAGCCACAATTTACCCATTCAAACTCTAAGGTACCACTCCAGTGCTACTCTAACTTCCAATAGAAGCTTATGCCCTCCTGGGCAACATACATTACTTTCAATTACTTCCAGATAAAATGCATGTTGAGGGAATGTGTCCCAAGGATCGAATGTACAGAGTAAACGGGGGTTTAGTGCCAAAAGTTTCCCTAGAAACTTAAGGGAAGTCCTGAAGAGGGGGTAGGGTTTGGGTAGATACGAAATGACGAAAAGGGAACTATCCCCGTAGTAGAGTTCTGTACCATGAGGGAAGCACTGAGTTCAATTTTTAGTACTAATAAAGGGGAAAAAATGGAAAGAGAAAATGAGAAAAAAAAACACAAGAGACTGAATGATGAAAAAAAGGGAGAGAGCAGTACATGAAGCATCACAGCTTTATATGTAAGCAAGCACAGAGGCCATGCAGACGTCATTGGTTTGAGTGGCTTATAATCCATGGTTTACAATTCATCTGTTCCTATGAGACCCCAGCTTCTTAAAAAAAAGAAGCAAATATGTATGTACATAAAGAGTAAGAATAGCCTCCAAGAGAGGTGAGGTAAAATAATAATTGCATGTTTAAAAGTTTTATTTTATTCATTCATTTATTCATTCATTTATTTTTATTTACTTATTTGTTGGGTGGTGGGTACATTCCACAGCTTGTGTGTTGCAAGAGCTGTGTCTCTGTCTTTCCTTTCACCATGTGGGTCTCAGGAATCGAACTTAAGTCAGCAGACTCAGCAGCAAGCGCCTTTACCCACTGTACCACCTAGCTGGTCAATAACTGTGCATTTAGTAATACGTAAGTAAAAAGTTTTCCCAAACATTCCCAATGCATTTAGGGACTGAGGTCGAGGAGCAAAGTAACCTATAATATCTACTCCCTCATTTTCACTCGCTGTCAGAAGGGAAAAATAATTGGACCTGCTGGTGTTGGGCTGTTTGTATTTCATAACCCAAGGAGTACTTTGGCCTTGATGGCAATAGCAGAATGCATGGTACTTGGAGACAAATTGTATAGTTCAGGAAGTTTTGTCCTCACAACAAGCTTGTGGAGTATGTATTCTCATTATAAAGATAATAGAAGAAGAGGACATAGTGGAATGACTGCCAGGAGGACAAGGTGTCGCTGGCTTGGAAGCCAAGGAGCCCCGGATTCTCATTTCTGGTTGGAGAATAGATGAAATTCTGAATGTCTACAAATAAGCAAAACTACTGTACACAATGGCTTAAAGGCCCCCTGGGAATACAGTCTTCAAATACCTGGTTGCCACAATTGAAGCAGTCAGTAGTCATGTTCCAAAGGCCATTGGGAAGGGGGATATTGAATGACAGAATTTATGTAATTCATCCTCAATCTTTTTTCTTCTGTTGAGGACGACCTTCTGGCTTGTATAGGTGACTCAGAGTTGCAGAGAGTGAGAGATTTGCTGAAGAATATTTCTTCTCTGTAGCCTTGTGCACAGTAGATTTTTTTTCCCTTCCATTCAGTCTCTTAAAAAAAAAAAATGTAGGATGTAAAGTGAGCTTCGCTTTTTAAGTAGAGAAACTGAATTCCAGAGCTCTTAGCCTGAGACTATATAGCTAGCTCTTCCCTGACCAGGAGGACAGGAATCTGGGATAGCTGGTTTGCTGAACAGTGCCATGATCCCTGCATACCACATCCCCGCTTTTATGGAAGGGACATCTGAGTCATCGCCCATCTTACAAATCTTTATCCTTTTACCAGCGAATATTCTCCAATGGTTTTCTCCCTCGCTGGAGCATGTAGCAATGATCCCAACTTTTAGGAAGGGTCTGGAAGAAGCCTGAGCACAGGGGCACCCCTTGAGAGCAACTCACAAATTGGTAGCATCAACTTCACGTTGGTTTTCCACCAAAAATTCTACCTGTAATGAAATCTTTTTATTAGGATATTATTTGGACAGACTGTCAAAGAACTAATAATTTCTAATCCACCACAGCTAACTCATTTCGACTTATTAAACACTCTAGGGAAAGAGAACAGTTTTGCCATAAGGGGGAGCCTTTGAGTTCCACAAAGTGGGGGGGGGGGGATTTTATATATACATTACATACATGTTTCAGTTCAAAACATAAAGACACAAGCAGCAAACGGCCAGCTCCTTACCTGTGTGTTGGGACAGTGCAGGAGACTAGGTTTTTGGTTTGGTTTTGTTTTGGTTTTGGTTTTTGGTTTTGTTTTGTTTTGGTTGAAATTGGATAAATTCAATTTTCCTCTCCTTTACACACAACAACAACAAAAAAACAATGATGTCTAACAACCACCTGAATGCTTTAAGACTGTTCAGAGGCACTGAGGGGGGACCCAGAACTGGCCCACCGTTTCTACAAGGCAGATGCCCTGGAAACGCTTCTCATCTGATGTTCTGTTGAATCTACAAGGCTTTGGGAAACAGGTTTGATTGGCTGAAGCCTGAAGGCGGCTGCCCAGGGGCTCAGGAAAGAGAGGACCCACTCACTGTAGTATAACTTTAAGAAAATTTGGGGAGGGAAAAGGAGAAAGGTAAAAGAAAGAGGAAAAGCAGGAGAAAGCAAAGAAGAGGAGAAGGAAAGAGATGGAGGAAGAGGGATAGAGAGAAAAGAATAGAAAAGAAGGAAAGTGGGAGAAAGAGAAAGAAAGAGGGAGCGAGACTATGAAAAGGAACCCGAAAACCAAGTTTCAACGCTCTATGTGTTATGGAAAAGGGAGACACGTAACTGCAAAGGGCAAAGGGGGCCCTTGTTTCTCCCGCCACGAGGCAAAATAAAAATAAAAATAAGGGGCGGGGGAGAAGGGGGAGCAAATCAAAACAAAACAAAACCAGGAATGTGTGTTTTGAGCAGGAATGAGGAGAGCAGGGAGGACCGTAAGGGGGTGTGTACAGAATTTCATTAAATTGTTACTTTAAGATTGTCTTCTTTAAAAAAGAAAAAGAAGAGGGGGTGGAGAAGCTGGAGCGAAGGAAAGGAGAGAAACGGCAAAGTAGAGGAAGGCTAGATGGCTCGGCCTCTCCACACCGATTGATTGGTCATGATCCCCGCAGTTTAAACAGGGACTCATTCAATTGGGAAGGTGGAGTGCTGGCGAACAGATTAGCACACGCTTGTTTACTCATCTTCTAAGGGATTTTTTCCCCTCTTTCCTTTCATTTCGTGAAGAAGGAGGGAGGGGAGGGGGCGGGGGGGGAAGAAGGGGGCTGTGGCTTGTGTTATAAAGGACGCAAAAAATAAATAAATGAGAGCATCTTGGGGGGAGGGAGGGAATTCAGCCGATCAGTGTGTTAGAGGAGATTTTTTTTTTTTGAAGAGCGAGAAATATATAAAATAAAATGAAATAAAACAAGGAGGAAGGCATCCAGCTGTTAGAGGGGGGGACAAGGCAGATAAAGGAGCGGGGAGAGAAATTAATTGCCAACCAGGAGGAGTTGGACTGTATTTTTGAAAGGTGGGGGGAGTGGAGCACACACCTTGAGGAGGAAAGCGAGAAAGAAAAGAAAAAAGCAAGTGGAAGGGGGGCTAGCCCGAGAAGGGGGGACAAAGTCAAGGCGCGAGCGGCTCTAAAAAGCTGGCAGCTCCGGGCGGCGGTGCAGGGGCGCAGGGGGGGCGCGGGGGGGACCGTCGGACATGCGGCTCTGGAGTTGGGTGCTGCGCCTGGGGCTGCTGAGCGCCGCGCTGGGCTGCGGGCTGGCCGAGCGCCCCCGCCGGGCCCGGAGAGACCCTCGGGCCGTGCGCACCCCGCGCCCCGCCGCCGGCCCGGCCACCTGCGCCACCCGGGCGGCCCGCGGTCGCCGCGCCTCGCCGCCGCCGCCTCCGGGCGGTGCCTGGGAAGCCGTGCGCGTCCCCCGGCGGCGGCAGCAGCGGGCGGCGAGGGGCGCCGAGGAGCCGAGCCCGCCTAGCCGGGCGCTCTATTTCAGCGGGAGAGGGGAGCAGCTGCGCCTTCGGGCCGACGTGGAGCTGCCCCGCGACGCCTTCACACTGCAAGTGTGGCTCCGAGCGGAGGGGGGCCAGGCATCTCCAGCGGTGATCACAGGTAAGGCGAAAGGGGTCCTGTCCTCCGGCAGACCACCCCGCTAGTCTGGGGTGCGGGCGGCGGGTGGGTCTCTGGGAGCCACCCCTGGAGTGGCGCACGGATGATGGAGGCGAGCTTCAAGCCTCGCTTTAACCCATCTGCTGAATGGGCGCACTGAGAAAGGATGCTGCCTGGCCTCGGGGGAGCTGCTCTTGGGAGCTCCGTGTCTATGGAAGTCCTCAAGCTGGGGCTGGCTGGTCCCCAGAGTACCCAGAACATTTAGGCTGTGTTCGGGATGTGCAGACTCCGTTTCGGGATGGGAGGAAGGGGGAACATGACCCAGATGGGTTGCATATGAAAGGAGTTTAGGGGACCGTTAATTTCTCTTTACTTTTTCATGGAGGTAATTCTTCATTAGCCCGGTTACCCTGCAAGTCGGCGGGGACCAGGTTGTGGTGATTGCCAGATTTAGAACTCCTAGAAGTACCCCCAAAGTTGCTCTCTGACCGAAGCTTGCCTCTGGGATCCACCCCCCATCACCATAGCCACCCACACTGCCATTCCCGGTCCTTGGTTTGAAAGCTGGTTGCCTGTCATTCGTGGCTGGGGCAGACCTTCTTAGCGCATACTCTGCCAGCCTTTCCCAGACTCAGAAGAGAATTGGGGCGCTTTTCTCTTTGGGGACTTTCATGAGCCCATAGTGAATGTAAGTTCTCCCTCCTCACCCTCCCTCTCGCCCTTTCGCTGTTCCACAGCAAAGCCCATAGTGAAACCGGACACTTCGCGAAGGCTGCAAGCCTTCCAAACGCCTCAACATCCATTTTCCCTTCTAAATGAATCTGTGGAAATGCCTTTAATGAAACGAGGGGTGGTGGAGGGGGTGGCGCTGGGGGAGAGAAGCAAAGTTTTGTCTCTTCTGTCTGGGAGATTCCCTCACTGCACAAACAACCTTGTCTGCCCTGGGACGTCTTAAAGCGAGAATAGGGGATCCCCCATCGCTGCAGCTAGCGAGCGGGCAGAGGCTTTTCGCGATCTCACCTCTTACCCCCTACACACACCGCTCTCAGGCAGTCTGTTGCTATTTTGCCTTGGCTTCGACCTTCCCTAACACCGTGCTGACTCTCCTATTTACAAGAAGTCCCCTTCGGGGGACCCAAACTCTGCTATCATGCCAATAAAATGTGTCCTCAAAGCTCCCACTTTCCCGCTACCAAAGGAGAGCGAGAACGACTCCCCACACACATAACTGACGTCATCGCTGCCCCCCCCCCCTTCCCCCGAAAAGGAGAGGGAAACCGAGCTCATTCACTTTCAGCTCCCAAACCTTCGTCAACCAGAGAAGGGTACAATATTGAGCGGGGGAGACAAGATTCAAAATAATCATGAAGAAGATGACGACAATTCAGGACTCTCTCTCTCTCTCTCTCTCTCTCTCTCTCTCTCTCTCTCTCTCTCTCTCTCTCTCTCTCTCTGTGTGTGTGTGTGTGTGTGTGTGTGTGTGTGTGTGTGTGTGTGTTTATGTGTGTGTTTCGCTTTCAAAACAAGCGGTCTGCTGCTTGGAAGTGGTTAAGAGAAGAGTAGATCTGGCTTTGCTGGTCTTTATCTGTTGTCAGAGAATCATCGGAAGGGATCCCCTGGAGAGGGAAGCCCAGGATACACAGAAAGTGGGTGCATTTCATATATACATATATGCAAATCTATGTCTCCCGGGGTTGCATGGGAGACTGCCTTCTACGTGTCTAACTCAGACCAAGGTCTCTCTTCCTGTTCTCTGGAACACGCAATCCACTCTCACAGTGATTGTTGCAGTAAAATACTTTAATTGGATCGGGGATGTTAGGTTATTATTGCTCGTATAAAATGCCTGGTTCATTTTATGTGTGGAAATAACATTCCTCACAAAACAGGAGGGAAGAAAAAAAAAAAAAAAAACAGTAAGTAAATAAATAAATAAATGGCACGGCTGCCGTGTAGCCCCAGAAAGCCAAGGAGCTTTTCTCCAGAGAATTCTGGTGGATTCCCCCCTCCCCTTCCCTAGTTGAGTCGGAGCCAGATTTGGCGGTGTGTAAACACCTGGCAGGGAGCCAGAAAGACTTATTCTGCCTTATCCTCCACACAGCGCATACTGTGGGACTAAAGAGAACCTGCTTCTCCTAGAATTAAAAAGCAAACAAACAGAGGGATTTTTTTTTTCTAAAAGTACTTTTTTGGTTCCCTGCTCGGTGATTAAATTCGAATTGGAAGAAACAGGACCCGAAGTGGGTGATAATGCGCATCCTCAGGCTGACTGCAGGACCTCGGGTGCCCGGTTGGCTGCCTGACCTCTGTCTGGGCGTCACCACTTTCACAGGAATCCCTGGTCACCTATCGCCAGAGCAGTCATCGCTCAGCAGGGTTTGCAACTGCTATTTCAGGCCCAGGGCTGCTGCCTCTGTGTCAAGCCAGCCTGCCTTACATCACTAGTCTGCACGATTCAATTGGGTTTCGTAAAGGTCTAATTTTACGGTGCTGTTAACCGGGTCTGTCGTCTGGCAGAGGCAGGCCTTGCCGCTCCTGGTAGGAGGGTGTGCTCCCAGATCCGCCTGCCCCTGGTGCTATTTCTGCCAGGGTTCAAACTTCACTTCATGGACACTGGTTCAGACAGGCTCTGAGAGAGGCAAGGGAAGGAGCAGAGTGCTTCTGAAGCACAGAAAGCATGCCTTTTATTTTTCTGAAAGGGAAGGTGAATACACACCACACACACACACACACACACACACACACACACACACACACACACACACACACACACACACGGTACTGCAGCTTGTGCAGGAAAATGCAAAGCCACAGTTAGAAAGTGCCAGGGTGCAGGATTCTCCTGCCAATGCTGAAAGATACTTTAAGAACCAAAGAGTCCTTTTAAGCTACTATGAGCAGGGTCCTTAGAGGTTCTACATCAGTTACCATTTAGCCCAATGGGAAGAGTCACAGAGGACCAGAGGGTATGCTGGATGGCAGAGTTCAGGGTCAGCAACTTGGACTTAACCCCTGGCACTCCTCCTTCTCTGTCTCACCCACTACCTGGCAGAGAAAAGAATCTCATAAACATCCACCTCTTACCACACACAGACCCCCCGTCCAGGCATTGCATTGTTGTTGTTGTTGGTGGTGGTGGTGGTGGTGGTGGTGTGTGTGTGTATGATCTGACACACAACACATCTCTTTGCTTTTGTACCATACCTGACAATCCAGACCCCTGCCTCCATCCCTAGCCAACCTCAACCATGCTCCACCACTCCTATAGTCTAAAAGAAGCAGAAAACAATGGAATCAACTTGCTCCATGAAGCAGAGGTGCTGAGTGGCAGTTAATCTTACTAAAGATCCTCCTGACCTGTTAGGTAAGGGAAAAGTGGACCCCAGAGTGCCACACTGTTCATCTTCCACTCTGTTCACACTCCGCCTGCATTAGTGATTCAGAGCTCCAGCTCAGGAGAAAGGAAGGGGCTGAAACTTGCACCCCAACCAGCATCTCTGCTGGCAGGTCCTTTTCTTTTGTTGTAAGCATTGGGATGAGTTAAGTTTCTTGACTGTGCCTGGCAGTGGTGGCACATGTCTTTAATCCCAGCACTTGGGAGGCAGAGCCAGGTGGATCTCTGTGAGCTCTAGGCCAGCCTGGGCCACAGAGTGAGTTCTAGGAAAGGCACAAAGTTACACAGAGAAACTCTGTCTCAAAAAAAAAAAAAAAAAGTTTCCTGGCTACTCTTAAGAACCCTTTTCTTCCTCCCTTCCATAGGTCATTTCTTCTTTCTCACCCAGCCCTTCGAAAACTCTGAAGCTTCATTTGAAGTTCACACATGAGCATGAACATGAACATAGCTCTCTTTTTAACAGCTGTAACTCTACCTGGGATGCAGAATATTGCACTGAGCATGATGGAGTGTTGGTAGCCAGGTTACCTCTCTCCTTGTCCAGTTGTGACCTTGAGCAAGCTATCTGGCTCCTCCTGGCTGCAGCTTCCTCATCCACAATTTAAAGGTGTTGTGAGTGCTTGTATCACAACAGGGCTGTGCAAATGGTGATTGAGCTCAAGGGTGTAAAGTACTTAGAACTGACCTTGGTACTTAGTGGGTGCATGACAAAGATTTCTTTTATTAGACAGGATTTTTCAAAGATCTTGGGCTTTCTGAGCTGAATACACTGAAACACAGGAAGCCTGCTCTCCCAAGCAGTGTACTTCAAGTTTGCTTTACACCTTGCAAGGTGGGCATTGGCACACACACACACACACACACACACACACACACACACACACACACACACACAGAGTGAGAGAGAGAGAGGGGGAGAGAGAGAGAGAGAGAGAGAGAGAGAGAGAGAGAGAGGGTAGTCTGTGCTGAAGAGTTGAAGGGAATGTAGATAGTCCCACCCAAGAAGGAAATGTCAAAGTGTTTGGTTCCTCTGCTGTTCGTCTGTTTGGAGGGCAAGAGAAGTGACCATCTGGCTGCAGAATGTTTCCACTCCCTTTGACATCTATGAACCAATCCATGATTTTCCAGATCAAAGAATGAGAAGGGGAGAGGTCTCACCTGGAGATTAGATTGAACCTAGCAGTTCCCTTTTTCTTTTCATATCAAGTCATCAGACTGACCAGGCTAGAAATTTCTCTCACAGTTCCTTGCTCCATCATTCTTCCTGTGGTTCCATTCAACTGTCTCTCCAGTATCTAGCTTGTGAATGGGCACAGTGACTTCAGGGTAGTAAAATGACATACAGTTATTCAAAGTACCCCTAAAGAGTGCAGGCTCCTATTTGGGATTGAGTCAAGGGTAACCACATCTAGCAAGCACACACATTGCCCTTTTCCGGTGCTTTGGCTGAGTCTTCTGGAAGGAAAGCCAGCTTGTGTACATTTAGAGCATCCCATTATGAATTTTGAAGGATATCTGGAGTGAGCATTGAATCATTGGGGACCATTAAACTCTAATCTCTTTGACTTTGGTCTTCTTTGACCTATGGGTGACTGTTTGCTAGTAAGAA